AAACCAGGTTCTAAAGTCTCGGACTTAAGGACTTTTCCATCCCTAGTTGTAGGCTTGTCTCTATGAGTTGCATTTATAGAGGTTTGACTGTAACTATAATTGTGACAGATAGTATATCTCAGAAAAATAATCATAGTAAATGTCGCGAAATTGGATTATCGTGAAATCCACGTGATCTCCATATCCTAAAATTTCTGAAAATCGTGTAAACAATCGATCTAATCGATCTACACTACGTAATCAATCGAATGCTATAACTGGTCGGTATGCCTATATGCATTTTTGATATTTATATTTAAAGGACCTTCTAATTGTATCAAAAAGGTGATCTAGCCATAACCTTAACCACGAGGCAAAAAAGAGTCTATAAAACCCTAACCCTAACCACGAGGCAAAAAAGAGTCTATAAAACCCTAACCCAACCACGAAGCAAAAACAAAAAAGAGTCTATAAAACTACTAACAAAAAATTTTTTGCCTTATGTTTAGGGTTAGAGTCTATAAAACCATTAATAAAAAAAAATTTTTGCCTTGTGTTTAGGGTTAGGGTTGCCTTTTTGATACAGTTAGAAGGTCTATATAGATACAGTATCAAAAATGCGATTTATGCAGCATATAGGAATATGGACCCCTGGTTATAGCATTCAATTGTTTTGATTACGTAATGTAGATCGATTAGATTGATTGTTTACACGATTTACAGAAATTTTAGGAAATCCGATGATACAGAGATCACGTGGATTTCACGATAATCCAATTTCACGATCATCCGCGACAGTAAATAATTTTATTATGCAACTTACAAACTATAGTAGTATATATAGTATATGTTGAGTTAGTTTGTGTTGGAATTAAATAGTCATAATTTTTATTAGGATTTACTATAAAATTTATGTACTATTACAATGCTTTAATAACCAAGAATTTTTAAATACTATGAAAAAAATTTTATTATATGTTACCAATCTACTTTATTTTGCAAAAATTACAAAATATTTTATTAATTCAAAGGAGATATTTTCATACAACAAAAATTTAAAAGTATCAAATTCTGATCTCTTCATATATGTGATTTAAAAGAGAAATTAATAATTTTAGGCATAGTATCATCTAAAGTGTTTTCAGTTAAATTTGATACTTTAGTTTTAGAGAATTCTGTTACTTATAAATTTATTTGAATACTTTAAAGTAAATCAATTTTACCTATGTCATCATTATTTGAGTATGAGCCACTAGATCCACTTGTAATAACTTCATTTTTTTCACTAATTTGTTTCATTTTGATACATAATTCTGCTATTTTTATAGCATTTGGCAATGAATTTGGTATTAGAAAAGTTACAAAGTTTTGAATTGTGCAAATTTATTTATTTATTTATTTTTTATTTGCATCATTAAATGCAAGCATATCTTCAGTAGTACTATAATATTTGTTTAATAAACTTTGATTGTCTTTTAGATTAAGTTTTAACATTAAGTTATCTTCTTTAATTTTAATATTTTTGCTTTCCAAGTAAAAAGCTTTATCAATTAAATACTCTATTTGTATTTCTAATTTGTCAAAATCGGTGTTGACTTGCTTTTCCAATTCCTTTAGATTGGATATTTCCATTCTATATTCATTTTTAGTTATTTTGTTCTGATACAATTTGCAGGTCAAGAAATCTTAGTTGTTTGATTAATTTTTTTAATATATTTTTTATTTTAGTAAAGTTTTTTTTTTCAGATCAAAGCATTATTTGAAATGTTTTTAGAGTTTTTCATAATGGCCCTTACAAGGTATCAGTTTTAACCCATTTGTTACTTCTTTAAATATGATTTATGTATCATATTATTTGTATCTTGCCTTTAAACAATATATTATTATTAATATGAAATAAACTAGATAATGAACCCATCATTAAATAATAGGTTTTGTTATTATTACTTTGCAATAATATAAATAATTTTTTTATTTTCTATTACCTACGAAATTATATTACATATTATCACATTCTTAAATTTTATTATTACAAATATACAGTATTGTGTACTATATTATATTAAATATATAAAAAAAAATAAAATAAAATAAACAAGTAAAGCTTTCGAGTATTTTAATTTTAACTTAATATGGAATAATATGACTTTCTTGCTTGTGAAATCTTTGATCAAATATTAAAAATGTTTATTTGTCAAAGGAAAAAAATGATCTTTAATGGATTGAAATAAATACAATTAATATTTAAATGCACTTGAAAATCCAAGCGATTCACATAACCAAATTTTAAAATTGGATAACTTATACTGTAATTTTAAAATTCCTTATGTTGGTGTAACTAAAAAACTTTATACAATTAAGGCGATTGAAAATAACCTAAGGATGCAAACTTATTTTATTATAAGATAATTTATACTGCGCACCAAGTAATAAAACATGCAAGTCAAAACAAAAAATCTGGTGATGTTTTTTTTTATTATTATGCCTGTTTTTTTATATAAATTATTAATATACAATTGTATGTATTGTTTTTTATCTTGCAATTTGTCGTTTTTTTTTTTATATAATAAATTAAAATTTTTTTATAAAATTTGCAATTGATGTTGATTGGCCGGTTACGAGCGATTAATCACGTGTTCACGTGATCGGGTTTGATTGGTCGATCACGGGTATGCACGATTTTTTTAAAATATTATTAAAGATAATTTAAACCAAATTTAATTAAATTTAAAAAAAAATTGTATTAAATTACAAAAATTAGCGCAAAATTCCACAATTTGATAAAAATCTTAACCAACATAATATATTTGATTAAATTTGTCAGAAGCAAAAAAAAATTTTAAAGCTTCATCGACGGGTTTATTATAACAATTTATTACTTGTCATTTGCAATATATACAAAAAAAACAATTATTAAAAGCTTTATGCGTGAATTATTATCATTATAAAAAATCGACCGGCTAACCGAAAAATTAGTTTTGGTCGATTTTTTTCATTATTGGCTAGGATTACTAAAGTTCTTGTTTGACTTTCTTGTTCGGATTCAATTCATTTTCTTCATTTTCATCCATATCAGTCTTTATTTCTGCTCTTCGTTTCTTTTCTTCTTGTATCGATTCCTCAGACGATGTATTATTTTCGGAAGCATCAGTCGTATTGTTATTGTTAGTCGTTTTTCTTTTAATAAGTGATGTCAAATCGTTCACAGGAGTTGTTGAAGATGTCTCTATCGCTCCCGATGATGTTTCACATGAAGAAAGCAGTTTCACATATTCCTCAAGCGCAATGTCACTGGGTCTCTGTAATGTTTGTTCTTGAGAAAGTTTTGCTGCCTGAATATCTGCGATCTTTAAATAACAATTATCATTTAGAAAATCAAACCAACTATTAATAACCAAATAAATTTACACATACTTTGGATTCCATTTCCACAAGAAATTCATCAATATCCTTTATTTCTTTATCAATCAGTGCGGTATCATCGTCGGCTGTAGCTATCTTTTTTCCTTTGCCACACGTTTCTTGGTAGTCATTCAGTTGTGCCTGCAGGATTTCTTTACGCTTATTCAACACTTCTATGGCTTTTTGTACATGTACAATAGCCTCATCTTGATTGGATTTATCTGGAATTAGTTCAAGTGCCAAGGATAATCTCCAATGGGTATTATAAAGAGTTAAGATCTACTTTCATGATTAAATAATTTGAATTTGGAATAAAATATACGTTAATAAAGGATATGCCTCTGCTATCTGCCGATCGCCTTCAGGAAGTGTCTCTGCTTTTAGCTTAACACCTTCTCTATAATCAATTGCTGCCTGATCGAATTTTTCTATAAGTATATTAAATGAAATGGATTAGATCATTTTATCAGATGTTTAATGAATAATAAAATTGCTTCAATTTTTAAAGTCTATTAATTCAGCGCTAAGGTAATGAGTTTTAAATCCACCAGAAATTATATTATTCACGGTAATTTCTGTAAAATAATGCTTTACTCCGAGTTAATATATTTTAAAATTTGATGCAATCCAATGTTATAAGACATTTATTTATCACTGTATAATGAAGAAAATAAAGGGAATCATTACCATTTTCGAGAGAAACATCACCCAATTTAATATAGACTTCTCCAAGAGACCTTTTTGCTGTTTCTGTTTTAATGTGAGAAAATATATCACGAGAATATTCTAATATTTCCCAAGCAAGACTAAGATCGTCTCCTTGTTCCTCTAATACTTCTGATGCACTAGCTTCCTCAGCCTGTGAATCAACATTGCCATCATTTTCAGCTTGGCCACCATCACTTTCATCATCCCCTTCAAATTGGAATCGTGAAGTATTGGCCTGAAGATCATCTTCAAACAATATAACGTTTAATTTCACAAAAGTAAAAATTAATACATGTAAACCAATACACAAATTCTGTCATTACCCATTGGAACGTCTGTTGAAGAAGTTTGCGGAATTGCTTGATTTCCAAGAACAGCATTTTGAGTTCGGGAATTTTCAAGTAGTGCGTTACCATACTTGTATAGGGCTTCGGCATACTCTTCTGAATCGACACCATAACATTGACCACTGAGAAATGAAATTAAAATACAAATTATCTTAGAAAAAAGCAATGTGTGTCAAGTGACGTGAAAATCGGTATAATCTGTTCCCTTTACGCGTTTAACGTATATTGGAATTTATTATACGCGTTGAAACTTACATTATTTCAGAAGCATCTGAAAACTTCGTAACTGCACTTTCATAATCTTGTAAAATGAAATCTTTGGTAGCTTCCTCTGTTAAGACTTGTATAGTCGTAAGGTCAGCAGCTTGAACTTTTGGAAAAGAAGATTCTTGGACAGGCAGTTCCGAATTCACTGCTGGGTTTGTTGAATTACCGCTCATTGTTAAATCACCACAGATAAAGATAAAAATGAACAAAATTGTTTATTAGTAATTGTTGAAAAAGAAAAACAATTTGAATTTGTGTAAAACGGACAACCAATCAGTGCAAAAAATGTGAGTTTTTTACCCGACGCGGGACTCGAACCCGCAATCCCCAGATTGCGCCATATAGAAGTCTGGTGCGTTATCCGATTACGCCAGCCGGGCTAATATAAGCTTTACGCTCTATTATTTACTATTCCATTAAAAAATCGCATTAGATATATCATAACCGCATTTTATTATTCTCATATATCGTATATTTGCAATTTTATTATTACCAATTTATTGAGACATTATACACTTTTATAAAAAACTACAAGCAGATGAAAGTAGATATGTAGAATTTATGTTGTATTTAAAAAAAACTACAGATTCCAATAATAATACAAATAAAAGAAAAACCAAATAAATAAATAAAACATAATTGGACTCCACTATTCTGCCTTTATGTAAAAATAATACTATCAGGAGAAAAAAAAAAAATCTAATTTTTCGATAATTATGATAAATGATTATTTAAAATTTTACCTTGAAATTGTCTTTTGAGTTAAAAAGAAGCATAATTTGTAAATAAATTATATGCATCAACCGCCGAAAACAATTGCTTATTGAATCAAGACAATTACCACGTCATTTGATCCAACACATTCGACTAAACCAACAAAGCCTATTTAACAAAGGCGTAATTTTTTTTTTTCGCAAACGATACTGCAAAGTGGATAAAATTTAAATTTAATAAACGAATGAAGCAAACTTCATTAAAAGCGTATTAAAAAAGTGGTTCATTGAAAAGGCAATAGCTAATCAAAAATGTGTATTACCGATGATTTATTCAAAATGATGTAGAATTTTGATTCATCACCTGGCATATTGTCAAACCTTAGTATGGCATAATTAAAGTTGCCAATATCGGTATTGCGAACAAAAACAAGGGATAGAAAAATGTTAAACTAAAAAGTTCAACCTTATATTTTTTAGCTTGTTGGTTACAAGATTATGATTAATGGAATTGTAAACGGTTGTAATTGTCTTGAGTTCATGAGGGTTCAAGGATGATGAAAAGTCCATAGTAAGTAAATTTTACACATATAAACTAACGTCCATTTTTTGCAATACGCGAGATTGGTAAACAAGAAATGAAGGGATAAAGGTGTAAAAGAATCATGTAATTTTATCAAAGCAGTCTAACAACGACCAACTCGCTCATAAAGAAAGAACCAAAAACAAAAAAAAAAAAGGATACGAGAAATAAAAAAAAAAAAAATAAAAATAATAATAAAATAAAATAAGATAATAAAATAAAGTAAAATGTTCAAGTAATAGCAAAGTATTGCCGACACAATTCTACATGAAAAGAAAAATAAAATATTGAAACAATATTCACTTAATCATTAAAAATATATTCGAAACAATAAGCTGAACGAAAACCATAATGTTCAAAATTCGTCATATGTCTCACCTATCGAAGTGCCGGCGTATATATTGAAAATTGTATACATATGTAAACTTTTGAAACACTATTATTTATTTTGTATCTCCGCCTTCGGCCCCAGCATCATTCTCACCGCCATCAACATTCAGCTTCTTTTGAACCAATTCACTCAATTCTTCGGTAGGGTCGCTAGTAACTATGAGAGGAACATCGTTATTAGCTATGGTCTCAGGCGGATTTGGTGCTGAAGTATCGGCCGTCACTATTTGACCTTCAGTTCCATGGTGTAAAATTGGTCCCGAATAAAGCGGTTGATAATACCGCGGAACATATTGGGGGCCAAATGGAGGAGAAATTGAACCAGCAGGGTAAGCTCTAAGTAAATTTTAAAAAATTCAATGATATAGTTAAAACAATAAGTTATGAGCAGAGATGTTTTCAATGAATAAATATAATGACAAATACATACCCTGGAGGTTGAACTCCTTCAGAATAATATTGAAGATAAGCCCCGTGACCTGGTGGAGAGCCAGGTGCCGCCATACCCAACATATGCTCCGGAGTAACAGGAACCTGTGGAATAATTCTCTATGAGGTAAACGATTTACTAATAAATACTCGATTGGTTGTCGAGGAATTGCTTGATAATAATTTTAAATATAATGTCTAAAGTACGTTTACTTAAAAATATACAAAGAATCATATTAATACTCACACCCCCCAATGATTGAAATTCTCTGGTTCTCCACATACGTCTCTTAGCTGTCTGACCTTTTAGTTTCTTTTGTGCCAAAGAATCGGCGAATCGAACTTGTAGAGGTAAATTGGCACCAGTAAGTTGGTATCCATTAAACTTTTGAATTATGGCCAAAGCGGAATCACGGTCTTCCATTCTGAGTTAATATTAATAAGTAAGAATAATATAATAGCATTTATTAATATTAATAGTAAGAATATTATTATATTATTATTATTAAAAGGTAATTAATAATAATGTATAATGATATTCTATTTATTCCATTGTAACATAAAAATAACTTATTTAAGTTACATGATTGGAATTTTTCTATTAAACTTTTAAAATAGCACTTTACCATACGACGAAGGATAATACTTAGCATGTTGTCTATGCTGTCAGTTTAACCGTAAACTCTTTTTAAAGTACTCCAGGTGTCATATAGTACTAAATTACCAGAGTACTTTACATATAAAGGTATTACGTATATGACCTTGTGATATTAGACTTTGTAATGTAAGAATCACATCACAAGAGCACTCTAAAAAGTGTCTACGGTAAAACTTGTGTGGTACAATTCATCAAGTTCAAAAGCTCAAAAAAACATGTACCTAGCAAATCCAACTCCACGGCTTGTTCCACTGGTATCTCTGAGAATTCTGTTAGATACGACTTTATAAGGCTTGAATAGTTCTTCCAATTGCTATAAAATTAGAAATTTTCATAAGTTTACGTTTATTATTAAAGGATAAGTATATCTCAATGCTTACTTGTTCGTTCATATCCAAAGGTAAATTTGACAAGTATATGTTTGTAGAAGCTAAGTCTTGAAGGTTCTTCAATCGAGTGCTGAATGATTCCTATTTTAATTTTAAGGTTTTCAATAATATTTAATAAATTATTTTATGAAACAAAAATACAGTAATACATGACAAAGAAATCACAAACATGCGTGCTACACTCACATAACCAACCTTGGCGAAGGAAACTTGCAATCCCAATCGCGTTAATTGTTCAATAGCATGCTTGGCTTGATCTTCAGATTCATACATAACAAAGCCGTAGCCTTTACAGTCACCTTGCTTTTGATCTATAATAGCTTTCGATGAAGTAATAGAACCGTATCTTTTAATGGTAAATATTTCAAAAAGAAGAAGAAAGTTAATAGATTATTATTATCAATATACTCCTATCGCTAAAATGATATCTGACCAAATTTGGTGATTATAATCCATTAAATAAACTGTTTCACAAAATGAATTTACTAAAATTATAAAATTATTCATGCAGTATTCATTTCATTTGTACACACTTTACGTATTTATCATGGATTATGCCCTCGGTTTAGTTCACATTAAGAATAAAAAGAATGAAGCACTTACATCGAACACATATTATGCAAAGATTCGTCAGTTGTATTAGGTGGTAAACCACGAATATAAATATTCGTGGTTTTTGTCGGATTACTAAAATTGGGAAGATTAGGTATCTGATGGGAACCGGCAGAATTTCTTCGATCGTAATTATAATGAGGGGGACGGTTTACACTGCCACGGCCATTGCCATTCAAAGGGCCAGCTTTAGGCGAAGGGACACCAGGACCAGGTAAATATTGTGGGGGCGGAGAATTAGGAGCGGATGAAGAAGATTGTGAAAGTGTAGGAGAGAGCGTATGAAGGACACCATAAGGAGATTGTGGTGAATATAGGTACGGGTGCATGGGAGGTGAATGGATAATGCCAGTCGGACCAACTTGAGGTGATGTGGGATGATAATAAATCGGTGGGCTAGTAGCAGTAAAGTAAGGACTCAAAGGTTGTGGTGCAAGAGAAGGTGAAGTCTGCCCTTGAAGAGGTGGCGTTCCAGGAAACCCAGTCCCGTATTCTGCAGGATAATATTGAGAATATGATGGATGCATCCCATAATGGCCATAGGCCGAAAAAACGTTTGGATCACTCGGATCATATCCTGCGGCCATAGCGGCATGATATTCACCGGCAGCGATAGTCTGTGGGTCAGCATAACCATTGGGGGCATAATAAAAATTTGGCTGCGGAGACACGGGTAAAGAAGACACAGCGTTGGAACTTGTGTTAGAATTAGTATGTTCTACAGTTCCAGTAGACTTTCCATGATCCTTTTTATCAACATGATTATCTTTTATCTCGTTCCCAGTTGAAGTTGTACTTGCGCTGATGTCATTTTGCTTACTCGTTGTCTCCGCGCTAACTGGAGCGGAAGTATTATCCTTCTGTGTGCTCATTATTAAGTTAGTGTCCTTGAAAAGGTTTGACAAATCAGATAAGCTTCGTCCAGATAATCTAGTAATATTACTGAAATTTATTAAATTTGTAATGAGACCTGCAAGTTAAACAATATTTGTATCTTCGTTTATTATATTGTTATTATTATTTAATTTGCCAAAGTTCAGCTAAATCGATCAGAATTTCAAAGCTAGATCTCCGATATATAACAAGTATTGAGCCACTTGACCTCCGTCTCAGGTATACTGCAGGGTCGTTAAAACTCTAGTTAAATCTGCGAGTTTCCTTGGACAGTGGGTGGTGGCAACGTTGGGTCGTCCACTGAAATGATGAGTGGGGGCGAACTGGTGGTGTGTGGGGACGTTGATTCGGAACCCACCACTGGAAAAAAAAGGGTTGTGGAAGGCGAAGTAACAACTAATAACAACTAATGGTTTTTTGGTTGTGATGGTAAACTGTGACTAGTTTGACTGTGGCGTGCATAAGAAATACACATCTCAATGTTGTTTCGGCCAATCAAATCGAATATATTTGGCTATTATTCTCATTATTAGAAAACTCTAATCAAGTTTTCACCCTTAAAAAAAAAAACTTTTCTACGTACAGTTCGCACTTTTGGAATCTATCCTTGGTATGCTCTTTATACAGTATAGTTATTTTGCTTTAAACTACATTACAGGTATACAGTTATGCTTTAAAAAAAAAAAATTATTACAGTTTACAGATTTAAGTA